CGGCTCTTATCGGTCCTGTGCTGAACACTGAGATAAAGCAACGCAGAGAGGGTACGCGATGCTGAGAAGCCCCCTAGGGTTTACCTTGGCTCTTTGCCATTTGGAGCCAGATAGTTCTTCTCTATGGTATGGTAGCTACAAATATAGCTAAAAATAAAAAATAAAAAAAACCCAATGGAGGTTTCACACTCCATGCTACTGATTACTGAATATACTTCTATGCATCATTTTCCTCCAGAATTTGGGACTAAATGATAGCACTAGCCTCAGTTGTTGGAAGGATTAAGTGAGGTAAAGCATGCAAAGTGTTTACTTAGTGTCCGGGACACAAACAACAATTGTGAGAGCCAACTAGCATCATGATCTCTATGATAGTCACCGTCATTATGATTGGTAATGTTATTGTCAGCAGCGGTGGTGGTAGCATGGTACCTGATGGATATGGATATGTATATGTGTGTGTGCATGTATGTATATGTGTATGTATATATGTATACATATATGTGTATATACATACATGTGGTATATATATGCTGATTATATATAGTCAAAAAGTATTGGTGTTTGTTTTTACCTTTTACTCTTCACAATAACTGTATGAGGCTTCTTATCCCTACTTCAAATATGGAAACTAAAATTCACAGGGAAGAAACCTGTCTAAAGTCACCCAACTAGTAAGCAGTAGACCCAGGATTCAAAGTCAAGTAGATTTCACTCATGTGAACTGGATAAGATTCCTTGGTGAACTTTGTACTCTACACATGCCTCTGTTACTTCATGTGTCACAGGGCATCTACTTGGTTTTTTTTTTTTCTGGCATTCCCCTTCACCCCATACCATCACCTCTTGGCTGACTCTTTCATCCCAATGACATCCATACACCTGACACATCATAGGAGCCCAGGACTTGTTTGAGGGATTGTATTGAGTAAGTACAGCATTGTCAGTGAGCTCTGTGTCTAGGAGGTGTCCTTCTGCCACATCCTTCCTTCTGGTCACCTATCAGTTTGCCATTTGAGCCTCTGGAGTCTAAGGATCCGCTATCTGAGTGGGGGTACCCTTGTCAGCTTTTACATGTGACTCTTCATCCTCTATGGATAAAAATGAAAAGACAGAAAAGAAAAGTAAATGGCTGACAAAGCTGTTAGCACTTTCAAATGCCATTTTTCAAGATGTTTCAAAAATCACTCGGTGTGGCCGAGCACAAATAACCCTGTTAGGAATTGTCCTTGGGAGGCCATCCCCATTGAGGAGTGTTATCAGCCCAAAACAAAATTAACGGACAGCAGAAATTTTCTTTGGAAGACTTTGTCCATCCATATGCTATGTCTTTCATAAAGCGATATGAATAAACAATGCTTTTGTCAAGGCTAATTTACTTTAATGCTTGGGAAAGTAGCAATCGCAATGGACGACTACATTTTCCTTGTTCTTGGCACAACCTCAGCTTTGAAATGTGTTTGTAATGGGTCTGCTGCTGAAAACTCCCCTCAAGAACCTCAGCCTAGATTGACAGAATGCTATTTCTTCTCAAGGCTTTAGTACACAGGGCAGAAAAATGGCCTTGTTTTCCCTTGCAGACTTCAGTTTTATGAGCCTCTTTTTATGATGTCATTAGAAACTGTCCAAGTTCTGAGAGGAGTGATCATTCTTTGGATTTTTCCAATACTCTGCTGCATAAAGTTTGTTGTACTCTAACTCTGGGCCAAAGCGGTATTGTCTGTAACCACTGGATCTTCTTGCACAATGTCAAGGCTGTGGAGTTGTGAGGCCTTGAGTGAGTCCCAAAGGTGGGTGTGATAAAAGGGACTGCACTCGATGATAAGGTGTCTCAAGGCTGATGGCCAGAAAGAACCCACTTCACAGACAAGGCAGTTTTTCTCTTCATCTCCATGGCAACCACAAGGCCAGCAGCTTCCAGTAAAAACTCAGAGATACCATTTACCCAGCTTCCCAAGAATCCCACGTAGTTATAAGATTTGGGCCCCAATATGAGAAAGAAAGAGATCAGTGTAACAGACTTTAGGCTAATTATACGTAACCTTTGCTGCTTGGTATCTTCTAACATGGCCTTGGGGACCACTCTTTGATCTTGAATTGACTTTCCATCTTTGCTCTCCATAAGGGCCATGTTCAAAAGATGAGGAAATACATGTGGCCATGTGCAGTTATACAGACCTTCTTAGATTCATGGTTGCTAGTATATTTTCCATGGAAGGGAGGAAAGAACAATGATCCTGTCTCAGCCAACTCAACCTGGTGGTAAAGTGTTCTTCATCAGACTCTCAGCTCACAGGTCACCTCCTCTGGAAAGCCGCTCCTGACTCTCTCAGCAAGAGTTCATGTCTCATACACTGCTGTTACAGTATCTACCTTGATATTTCTTCAATAGATCTTTCTCCCCATTGGTTGATAAGCTTCATGGGAACAGTCCACAGCCTTTCATCATGATCCCTCCCTAACACTTACCTACTAAGGTAGGATTCTTGCCTTGAATCATTACTAGCTGTTGTTGAGCTCATCAGCCTATCATCACGTTTCAGAGGCGTCCATCCTGCTGCTCCTCAGTGTGTTTAGAAAGCACCACATGGTGGGCTGAGCCCAACGGTAAAGCAGGAAGTGATTATAGTAAGAGGTTCTGGAAGGAACCAGTACTCAAAGGTTGCTGAGTGGATTTCAGACCCCCATGCTCATTTACCTGGAAAAGCAGAATCTCAATGTTCTTCCAGAACTATTTCATCATCTCTCCACCTCCACCTTATGACTGAGTTTTAGCTGTGTTGATATTTAATATGGACATTTTGACAAGCCATCCATTCATTCACTCAACTCATAAGTATTGAATCCTTACTATGTGCCAAAGATTATTTTAGAAAATAAGAATTCACCAAGGGTATCAAGATAGACGTCATGGCCCAGCAGGAAAGAGAAACAAATTTCACCATTTTCCATTAATTATAATTATAGTAAATGTTACCAAGAAGTTGAGCTAGGTGTTATAAGAAAGTAGAACAAGGAGATTCGACCTAGGGAAATAAATTTTGAGGCTGAAATATAGATGACAAGATGGCTGAGAATTATCTAGGGAGGCAAGGGGGTAAGGGGAATAGTTCCTCTAGGTAGGAAGAAGACTGACACAGCACAAAGGCATCTCCAAGCTCTATACAGAGGATTTACTATGTGAATTTTAGTGAAACTTCCATGTTAGAAAGAAAGAAATACCCTTCTAGTTAAGTAGTATGTATGCATGTGTGGTGGGAGGGAATTATTGAAAGGAAAATAAGAGAATCTCAAAGGAACCAAAAGGAGAGATACTGGGCTTTGTAAGAATTAGAAAACCAATAAAAGTCAGAGCTCCTTTCTATGACTCTAAATAGCTTCTTTTCTCCTGTTCCCTTCCTTCTGCCTTCCCTCCTTTCCTTCCTCCATCTGTTAGTCTCTACGTCTATCCCTCTACCTCTCTCTCTCTCTTCGTCAAGTGTCTTATTCTTTCAGCTGTTCCAATATGGCAGTCTACATGAGTAGACATGATCTTGCTATTTCAATTCCGCTGCTAACTGCAATCTCAATATCTCTCAGTTCAATTGCTTGTGAGAGTAAATCCGGTTGACTGTTGGCCATTTAACTGAATTAGTTGGTTGATTTGGGTCAGGTGCCCATGTATGAAACATCTTATTTTTTTTTTGGCCACCCCTAATTGGCAAACCATTTCACATCCCATGTGATCCTGGTGGAATTCTACCCTTAGCCGCAGGGATGGAGGAAATAATGCATGCCTAAGCAACTCAACACAACATATCACCAACCATAAAAGGTTGTTCAGGTTATGTGCATAAGTCAGACTTTGAGAATTTTGGAATCAAAGACATTATAGGGGGAGATATTCACTCTTCCTTTAGATTGCATGCTATGATGTTATGAGTTTTAACAACCTTTCTGTGACATTAAGGGGAGCCAGACTGAGTATGGAGCCACCTCCGAGGAACCCAAATTAAGATTTGGAAAAATACCAGTTGTTGTGATATTATCTGAGTCCTGACTCCAGCCTTGCTGGAAGCTGGTCTACCCCAGGACATTTCAAACCAATCAATTCCCTCCATTGTTTAAGCCAGTTTCGAGTTGGATTTTTCTGTCTCTTGCAAAAAAGGGCAAACCGATCTGGCTTGCCCCTCACCTGATCAGTATGGACCAAGGAGGGCAATTGCTAAGGAGGGCAATTCCTGTTTCAAGTAGGAAATGATTCTTTGAGAAGGTGATTGATCCAAAGTATATTCAAGGCACCTGGACAACTTAGAGGTAATGAGGAAACAAAGAGCATGGCTAACCATGTTGCTATTACAACTGAATTCATAAGCAAGGAAGGAAAAAAAAATAGAGGTCAGTTCTGATATGGAATTGCTTTATCTTCTTTTCTAAAGAATTTTAATCATGTTTTTCATCACTTCATTAATTTTTTCAATTTTTCTTGAAAACAGTAACAATTCTTTCTACTATTCTTTTAGAAATAGCTACAGGCTATGTTTGAAACATCTCAAATGAGCTCCTTTTGAATTATTCATGTGAGAAAATCTCTATACGTATCCAGAAATAGGGTGTCTTTCTGTCTCCAAACTTAAAAACAACGGATTGCATTTTGCTAAAAAGAAAAACGGTTTCAGCTGAAACCAGACTTTAAAAATATCACCCCATTTTTCTTTCCACAAATCAAATTTGTCGGAGAAGACTGGGGGAAAAAATTGAACTATAATAAAACATTTGACTTGTTCTTACTATATGTTTATGTATGTATTTCTTACCTGTTAGAGATTGTAAATAACTAGAAGGCAGACGGCTGTCTGCTCAACTAGGCTGAACATTTTTCTAGCACAGTGTCACAATATCTGGGCAAAATTTCACCAGTGGTAGATGTTATTGTAACTCTGGGCTGTAAGATGTAAACCTTCTATGTAAATCAGGTCCCTTTTTATTCCTCTGCTCATACTTTTCTTTTCCTTTACAAGGAGCGCAAATTTCCCAAATTTGTATCCAAAGAGATGGAAAACATGTACATTGAGGAGCTGAAGTCATCTGTCAACCTGCTCATGGCCAATTTGGAGAGCATGCCGGTGTCCAAAGGTGGAGAGTTCAAACTTCAGAAACTCAAACGCAGCCACAACGCTTCCATCATCGACATGGGTGAGGAGAGTGAGAACCAGCTCTCCAAGTCAGATGTCGTGCTGTCTTTCTCCCTGGAGGTAAAAAGCCCTAAACCCTTGAAAGTTTCCTGGCACAGCCAGCAGGACGTGGGTGATTAGATGCATCACAATCAGCTTGCTTTCTTCCCTGCACCCCAGGAGCAGTTATTAAAATAACAGCTTGCTAAGCATAGGTCAGCTAATCAGCAAGTGATTCCCCATCTCCAGGAGCCCATGCTTTTCTGAAGGAAATGCAGTCTTAAGAACCATCTACTGAATTTAATCTTGCATTATTTTCCATCTTAAAGCACTGCTCAAGGATTTTGTAAAGCCCTTACGCAATTTAGAAAGTTTATAATGTTGCCATCCTGTGTCGGAGTTAGGAGAGAAGCAATCTAGCATCATTTGGTGAGTTGTAGATTTTCTTTCCTGTTGTCTCTCCTGTTGGGTACACAATAGGAGAGCTTCTTGTTGCTGGGGAACCTTTTTAGTTTATTTCATCAGCCAAAGAAAGAACCCGTTCAGACCGGGACTGTGGCAGAAAGCTCCGCATGTCAGTACATTTCTCTATAACTTCTGCTCACATGTTTGTTTTTCATACCTATAATAGAGGGAGTGGATCTGATCTGGCTGTGGTGGAATTGCCCAGAAAACTGGTTCTCTATGCAGATTCCTGGCACCACCCAGACCAAATCTCAAGGTGGAGGCAATGCAACATGGTGCAGTCATCTGGGAAAAGAGTTTGGTGGTTTTGCAAAAAGTTAAACATAAAACTAGCACATGCAGAGTGCAACTCTATTCTTAGATATCTACCCAAGAGAAATGCAAACACACATCCCCATAAAATCTTGCTCCCGTTCAAAGTTTATAGCAGCACTATTTTTAATGGCCAAAAATGGAAACAACCTCAGTGTGTATCCCCTCGAAAATGGATAGACAAAATGTGGTACATCCGTACAACGGGTTACTACTCCGCAATCGAAAGGAACAAACTACAGATACATGCTTTGATTTAGATGAAGGTCAAAAACATTCTGCTTCCTGAAAGAAGCCAAACACAAGAGGCCACATGCTGTTTGATTCCATTGCTACGAAATGTCTAAACAAGGCAAGTCTCCAGAAACAGAAATCAGATTAGGTTCTTGGGGCAGGGGGTAGAAATGGACAGGAGGGACATTACTGGGAGATAAAAATGTTCTAAAACTAACTGATGATGATAGTCCTGCAACTTAGTAAATTTACTAAATTCACCGCATGGTACACTTGAAATGAGTTAACTATATGATATGTAAAATATGCCTCAATGGTGTCAGAAAAAAAAAATCTCTGGGTGGAATACACCATGAAATAAGCATTTTAATGAGCCACCCAGGTGCTTCTTATGCATTCTAAAGTTTGAGAACAGGTCGTAACTTATTGAAGCCCAGAACCCCACAAGGATTTTATGATGGCCCTAGATTTGGGGAGACCAAGAGAATAGATCAAATTTCTGTAGATTTAATTAGAATTTGTAAAGACTAAATTAATTTTCTAGAACATCATTAAGGCTTCCTGTGAATTAACTGCCTGTAATTTGTTTTACTGTGCTCAGTTCAGATCAAGATAGTCCTATTACAGTGTGATCAACGTTTATTTTGCAGTTGGCAGAAGCAGTATTCAGTTAAATATAGGGCACTTGGTGTGTGAAAAAACCATCAGTGTAATTTCACAGAAACTTCCTTTTTTTCTTTCTTTTTTAATGCTGCCACCTGAGGTACTGAATGCTTTTTCTTAGGTGTCTTTGAATTTGATTACTGCCTATTAGAGGTGGCAATTTATTCCCCCACTGCCTCTTGTCTTTCTACAGAAAGTAGGGGAAAAGTGGTTTATTGATTTTCACGAAGCTTTTAAATCCGTAATTTTCTAATTCTTCATCAGTACTCAATATTATACAGGTGATTATCTGAAATCTAGCTGTGAGTGGGTCCCCAGCCACACTCCCATGTGTACATGATTCAAACAGGCTTTAACTTCTAAGCACAAGTACAGAACGAAATGCCCTCATTTCGTCCCCAAATACTTTTTACTTGGAACGCTAATTGTGCATATACTAAAACTGACCGTAAGAATCATGGTGCGTCTCTTTGTGAGTGTGTGTTGGGCGACACGGTCAGGGGGGACACGAAGAGGGAGATAGGGAACTGTCATCTTATCGGGGTAGACTGGGTTTGAACTTGCAGGTTGGTGGAAGACATGTTTTAGGCAGTTACAGAATTGCGTGACCGCAAAGGACACTCTAGAGCAGTTAGCGGCAGCGAGAGAACTGAGGTCCAGGATCTGAGGTCCAGGATGCCTGTCTGGCTTGGTCTTATACCAGGGGAGTACTCTGGTGAAACAGAATGGGCAGATGGGGAGTGCCTCTGCCTGCTCCGCCATTGCCATCGCCAGCGTTAAGTCAGCGAAGACCCCTAACAGTCTCCTGAGCCATTTGCATATGTGAAAACAAAGCCTCAGAGAGGTTAAGAAACTGGCAAATGATTACACAGCTGGTGAAGTTGCAGGTTCAAGATTTCAACGGAGATCTTTTAAATCACAAAAATTGCGTTCTTTGTACCGTGCCTCCCATTTCTTTCCACCGGTATGGTTCTTACCAGTGTGAAAATTTTCTATGACCTACATCATCTTATCTGGGCCTCATACAACAGCCACAGACGGATACAGGATATACGTTATTGTCCACACGTTACAGATGAAGACCCTGGGCCTCAGGAGATTTGACAGAAAAGTGGAGGGACTTCACGGTCAAGTCATTTGCCCAGTAGCACATGAGTAATCCAGTGGTTGTCAAAGGATGGCTCCCAGATCATCAATACCAGCATCAGCATCACCAGGGAAATGAGTAGAAATAAAAAGTCTTGGGCTTCACCCAGACCTGCTTATTAGAAGCTGTGGGGATGGGGGCGCCTGGGTAGCTCAGTCAGGTGAGTGTCGGACTCTTGATTTGGGCTCAGGTCATGATCTCAGGGTTTGTGGGATCCAGCCCCACGTTGGGATCCATGCTAACAGCACGGAGCCTGCTTGGGATTCTCTCTCTCTCCCTCTGCCACCACTCGTGCTGTCTTTGTCTCTCTCTAAATAAATAAACTTAAAAAAAAAAAAAAAAAAGAAAAGAAAATCTGGGGGTGGAGCCCGGCAGTGTCTGGGTTTAATAAGCCTTCCAGATATTTCCGATTTACACTAAGTTTGAGAACCACAGGACTATTAATCAACAAAACTGACTTGTACATCCTGGTTCAAAGCCAACTCTAGTAATCAAGCCCGTTAAAGAAGTGTACATGTTTTGCACAAACATACTCTTTTCCTTGTGTGATGCCATTTCCTCTTTTGGAGTATGATTGGGTGATATTTTTGTATACCTGGCTTACTATAGATCCCTGATGCAGGGCATTTGTTTCAGATTTCTAAATCAGTGCATCTGCCCTATCCTCCCCTCTTATATAAGACAAGGCGCCCCCACTGAATCCGAGAATAGCAGGTGATCGAATGGAGTGTAAGGGTCGTGGTGGGCAGTGCCAGGGATTGTAAATGATACATTTTGGTCCAGCAAAACGCCAGCTTTTCTCCTCAGTGTAGAACAGAGAGTACGCAGCTGCAGACATGTTTTTGTTTTGATTCCACAGTGCTGACCTGAACAGTTTGTGTATTTTATTCCTCCCTTTGGGGATTATTGTCAAAATTTCAAAATCAGATTTCTGACTTTGGTTCTGATTCAGGTCTCCATTTTCTGGGAGGAAAAATCGCCGTATCTGGCAGCTGTGGACTAAGGACTGACAAGGCAGCAGTGGGGTGCGCCTGGGTCCTGACTGCTCTGTGTACGTGGAGCGCGTGCCCTCCGTTTTGCCACGGGCCCCACTGCTCCCTCTTGCGTCCCGGACTCTAATGCTGAATGGCCTTTGCTCTTAGCACTTGTGTTAGCACTTACCTCACTGCAAAGAGAAAAGTGAATTTCTGGGCCTTTGTCTCTGCTGAGTGCTGAATTAAAAGCTAGGCTATTTTGAAAGAAGATAAGAGAGACCCTGTTTCTTTGTGGAAAGGAAAAAATAATCATGCATTGAACCCAGGAAAAAAGCAGCCGTTTCCCCTTACCTGTCTGGCCCCTGTGAGCATCTGAGGTAGTGAAGGTTGTCTTTCCATCTGGGAGGCAGTAAGTTACACTATGAAGAATTTGCATCTTCACGCAAGACTGGTACCAGGCTGGCTGCTAGAAAACTGATGGAAGCTACCAGATACCCGTCGGGTATTTTGGTGGCTTCTTCCCATCTGTGTATTTTCTTCTGGGTGATGCTTCCCATGGCTTTGGGTACAAGCTTGGGATAACCTCTGCCATGTGTGGTTCTCCTTCTAGGTGGTGATCATGGAAGTCCAAGGCCTCAAATCCTTGGCTCCCAATCGCATTGTGTATTGCACCATGGAGGTGGAAGGAGGAGAGAAGCTACAGACCGACCAGGCCGAGGCTTCTAAACCAACGTAAGTTCTGTTTCTCCACAGCTCATCTTCCAGAAGAAGGTTGCTCTCATTGCCACCATTTTGTCCAAGTTACAGGTCTGGTTTCCCCAGAAGGTTCTAGAAGGCATATATCTTGATTATTTTCCATACAGGATGACTCAATTACATTCTTATTCAGCAGCCGTAATAAGGATTCCAATTCCTGGGGCTCCTGGGTGGCTCAGTCAGTTAAACGCCCGACTCTCGATCTTGGCTCAGGTCATGATCCCAGGGTTTGGGGATGGAACCCCACACTCGCTCACTTGCTTGCTCTTTAAAAAAAAAAATGTCTGTAAGAATTCCATTTCCTTCAGAGCTGAAAACAGAGGAAACTTAAAGAAATAATCTCCATTCTGGAGGCTTTATGTATTAATTTTAGAGAATTCAGTCACATCTTCAATCCTTTGATACGATGTACCGGAGAGTTTCATACAAAATTTCTTTTATTAGATTTACTAAATAATATTTGGTTAATGGTATAAGCAATTTGTTCAAAAGTTTCTTTATGTGCCACAGTTATGACTATTTCAGTAAAGCAGTGTATTATATTAGATACATTAATTCATTCAGTCAGTACATATTTGCCAAATGTTCACTCTGTGGGTACAAGGTAGAGGTGCCCAGGGGAGAGGAAGGTAGTCACTGCTATAGTTCTACAGATCTTATACTTAACATTGAGTGGGAGGATCAGAAATATAATCACATTAATGTATAATTACAAATAGTTATAAATGTTGAAAAAGAAAAAGTGCTTTGACAAGTGACAGCAGAGGACTCAAATCACTTTGTGGGGAAAGAGTCAGAGTTGGGCTTCTTTAGGAGTTACAAGACATTTGGGCTAGTATTACAAAAGTTGAGTGAAGCAGGTGGGAGTGGAAAGAACATTCCAGGCAGAGTCAGCTTGTGCAAAGGCCCTGTGGCCAGCAAAGGCCTTGTAGGAAAGCAGAACTGAAAGAAGGCCGGTGGAGATGGAGTTCAGAGAATACGTATGCCATAAGCTGCCAGTGAGGCAGGAAGGGACCACACAATGAAGGGCTTTGCTAGACTATGGAGAGGAAAGCATGGAGATAGGTGATTAGAAATGTGTTTTAAAAAGATCACGATGGCTGCAGTGGAGGGATGCAGGAGACCAGCTAGGATTCTATGGCAATCGTTCACAAGAGTGATGATGATCAATTCATTTGGGTCAGAAGACTGTCAGGCCTCAAAGATTCTTGACAGGTCACTACTATTTCCCTCCCACCCCACTGCCTCTTTCCCTTCCTTTTCTATCTCAATTATGCCAACCAGACTAATGACCTTTGTTTTGTTATTGTTGTTAATTCAAAGAAGTCATAAAAAGGATGACCCCTGATAGCAATGCCCTGCTTCTCCTCCTGCAAAGCATTATGAACTGTTTAGCAGAACATGAATAGTTTACCAGGATGTTGAAACAAAATAGTTCAAAGAAAGCACTGCATGTTTCCCAGACTAGAGAAAATCTAGGGCATTGTATGCCTTCAAGTTTTTCTTTGCATAAATAAGCTCGGAAGCTGGGCGAAATTAATGAACGTAAGCAAGAGGAAATGGAAACCAATACAACTTGTCACACACGATCCTTCCTCCCTTTTTTTAAACTTAGTTTTCAACTGAAGATGAACAGAGTTTCCTTTTTACTGCCTGCCTTTGATACAAATCCCAATTTTCCCCACACCTGTCACCATGGCCTGATCATTATCAATGTTATTATGTTATGCTGCATTATTTATGCATGCTTTTAAAAATGTGTCGTATGTGGGGGATGAAAAACCTATTTGGTGTTTCTGCCAACTTTTTAGGTGTTGGGCTCAATATGGTGTCATAAGATAGAGGAGGAAGGAGAAAGCTCTGATTATTCCGACAGGCTGTTGTTTCATATGAGCTATGGTAGCTTAAAACATAATTCATATCATTTTATTGGGTTTAAAGGTTTTAGCTGCCAGGGTAAATGATGAGCTGATCTTCATGTGTTTATGAATGCTCAAAACAGAGTTTCAGATTACAACTAAATATGGAATACTTCAGTCTTTCTACTTGACATACTCGTATTTCACATACATATTTACTCCTATCCACACATGTGCATTATTATGTCCATATTAATAAACATCTCACACTGAACCACTTTGCTTTTCTAGCCAAAAGTATGATAGTTTCATTTCTCTTCCATCAGTGAGTGGGTACTACTAAAACCTCACAGAGGATTTTCTTGTTTGCCTGTTTGTTTTTAAATACAGTAAGAGTGCAGATTTCAGGTCTAGGGTCAAGTCAAATCAGTCAGCAGTGGCTAACTGCAGCACTGTGTTAAGAAGGGTTCTGAGGCCAAATCTGTACTCAGAGGAAAATAGCGCATGACAAACTTGGAATTGGAATGTCTGCCATAGGAGAGGAAGAGGTCTAAGAACCTCATGTTTGCCATTTCTATAGCACCCCAAAGAGATAAACCCAGAGTTTGAAATGTAGCGATACTTATGTTTCTTGCTGTCTCTTCTTTGATCCTGTTTTTAAAATGGATATTTATTTTTAAGAGAGAAAGAGAGAGAGTGTGAGAAAGAATGAGAGCACATGCGAGCAGGGGAGGGGCAGAGAGAGAAGGAGACAGAGGATCCGAAGCAGGCTCTGTGCTAACAGCAGAGAGCCCAACACCGGGCTCGAACCCACGAACTGTGAGATCGTGACCTGAGCTGAAGTCGGATGCTTAACCGACTGAGCCACCCAAGCGCCCCTCTTTTTTTTTTTTTTTATCATTCCTGCATCAATTCTGTTTACAACCTCTATCATCTTCCTTATAAATCAATAATTCTTTTCCCAACTCTCTTCTTTGCCAGTTTCTTTGACCTAGTTCAGTTCTGGAAGGTTTTTTTCTGCCTCTTGTGGTACCTGGTACTAGGAGCAAGCCCATTGGTACAGGGGCCTTTTCTTCCTCCCTCCCTGGTGTGGACTTATTCAGAATCCTCTCTAGCATTTTTTTTGTTTCCTTTGAAGCTTATATTTCTTCTCTCTTTTTTTTCTACTTCTAATTTTTCCCATTGCCAATCTCCAGTTATCATGTCTGCTCCTTGATTTTGATTACCCCAAAAAAGTATCCTTTGGAGGGTTATCTTCTATGTGTCCTAATAACTCCACTTCGTTATCTGACAAGCGTAGCCCTTTTCCTGCCCTATTCATCCTCTGAATCTTGTCTTTGACTATTCTTGCCACCAGCATATCCCCATACTTTATTTACACATTCTAAAATCAAAATTAAATCCAAGCCTGTTTTATTACTCTTGAATTCTATTGTTGCTGCTAATAAGTATTTCCACTCAGCAACTGGGAACCCACATCTTATCCTTCATGTGTCTACTAGGAATTTGACTTTTGTCTTTTTTTGTTTTGTTTTGTTACCAAGTACAGTCATGAATCGAGGAGTACGTCGCATAACCCACTTTGTCCAAGGGTGTAGGTTTTTGGAACTCCAGTGTATAGATAATTCCAATAAAAGCAAGGGCAGAATGGTACCTGCAGGGAGAACGATTAAGTTTGGAAAATGCAAGACATTAAATCTAAGTTATTCAATCTTCGTGGGCATTTAAAAAACTTGGAAGATTTCCAACCATATAAATGAACCTACTTAGCTTTGTTTGTTCATGAGTTTCCCAAACTTATTTCACCTAATACCTATTAGCATCCTTTGGAAATGCTGGTCTATATTGTCCAAATCTAGTCACGGAGTTTCCAAACTCTCCCTCACCTCCTCAGCCAGTGCTGTCTCTTTACTTACAACCAGGGCCCTGCCCCGCATGATCATTTTGGATCCGGTGTGTGTAATGTAAGACTGCTGTGTTCATGACTTAAAGAATTTTTTTGATTGGAAAAAATGGCGTCTGCACGCATGTGTCTGTGTGTCCTCTGTTCATCCTTCATTTTAGTGTGCTATCTGTGGGATTATTTTCAAGCAGACTATATGCCCTCGCAATTCACTTGTCCTCCTGTCCTGGGTTTTTAATGTGGAAAGCCAGCAAAATATGTTATCACAATTTTCAAGCAATGTGTTTATTTCAAAGACTTTTGCCTCCATTTGTAATACATTGTTTCTGCTTCTGTGAGAAACCAATGGAGGTGCTGAGGCAGAAGTAATTGAAATGGTGTTTTTTAGGCAGGCAATCTCAGGAAAGCATGGGAGTGGAGGAGAGAAATACTTTGTGGATGCAAGAACTCAGATACATTTGTCTACCTCCCATGGAACAGAGCAGAAGACTTTTCTTGTCAGCCCGAGGTGTTTTTCAAAAAGCCCGGCACACTCAGCTCTACTGATAACAGAGATTATGTATGTTTTTATCAAGACAGGACGTGGAGTAAAATCAAATCATGGGACAAGGAAGTAACTGCTTTTCCATTTGTCAGTTCTTCTGATCAGGTCAAGAACGATTTTATTTGGGTCTGGTAGATATTTAACACCACCAGAGGCCTCAGGCTCTGAGTCATCTGCAAACAGGAGCCTCCAGTTAGAATTTCACAGCACTGTTTAGATCTCATTTACCCAAAAATGTTTTTTTGTATACTGGGCCTTGAAGTGGTTTAAATTGAAAGAGAATATCTTTTCTGAATGTCTCCTTTGAAATGTAGATGTCAGGGGCTGATAGGAGGGGTGGGGACTGGTATTCCCTCAACAAGGGACGGGATGCTTTCTTTGTGTCCTCCTGGTGCTGGAGCTACAGCCTTGAATGACACACGTCAAGCTCTGGCCCCATAAAGTGTGCATTCTCATAAAGGGCACAGGCAGGAAACACATGAACAAGGAAACACGTAAGATAACAATCATCTCTAATTTGCATCACCTTCCATTCACGGCCGGTGGTGCTGCTTTGTCTTTTGCATCAGGGATGTAAGTTTTCCATTTTAAAGAACTATATTAACATTTAAACGTGAAACAATTTAAATAAAATATATTAAGTAAATAATTGTTATGCCCAGAATTCGTG